CGGAAGGATGAATAGCTTTTGGGGGCAAGGAAAGTGGGATTGGTGATGTAAGGAGTTCTTCTACTGTTATGGTGTGGGCAGGATGGGATTCCGGATGTGAAATAAATGTATTGGATAGGTGAATGGCGAACTCCTCAGCCTTATCTTCGTCAGATGCTGCCCAGGAGCCATCATCTCGTCGGAGGGGATGGGAAATGCGGTGAGGATTTAGGATTTTGGTTGTGGTTTTCCAAAGGGAATTGTCGCGAGAAGAGAGGGAGGATAGGTAGGAGTTGAAGGAATGTGATCTGAAGGTGGCTAATTCCAGTTTTAATTGTTTGCAGTAATAATTATAGGAGCAGCGGTCGGCAGGATGTCGGGTACGTTGCCACAATAATCTGGCACGGCGTTTGGTGTGGATTAGGTCAAGGAGGTGTTGGGGTAGAATGGTCTTTTTAGGAATTCTGGAGGAGTCTTTAGGGAAGGAGGCAGTCCAGGCGGCTTGTTGGATTGTGGTAGTAAAGGAATTTACGGCACTATCAAGGTCATCGGGAGTTTTGAGGGATATGTTGAGATCAATATTATCGGAGATTATTTGGCGGAAAAGGTCCCAGTTTACTGGGCCCCTAATGAATGACGGTGGAGAAGGTTTGGGAACAGGTTGAAGTGAAACATTAAGGATTAGAGGACTATGGTCAGAGGAAAGTTCATTTAGACGTGTAATGGAACAATTGAGGGGACTTAAGCCGCTGTGGATAAAGAAATCAAGAAGATCAGGATTACGGTTGGGATCTGTGGGCCAGTAGGTAGGAGAGTTGGGGGAAAGGAGGTGAAAACGTTGGGAATTGAGTGCAGACAGCAGGGTTCGGCCACGAGAATTCGTGGTTCTGGAACCCCATTGTTGGTGCTTGGCATTTAGGTCTGCACCCAAGATGAAGTGATGTCCTAAGGAGTCGAGGAGAGAACTGAATTGGGCATTGGATATGGATCGGTTAGGAGGGCAATACGCTGATGCAAGAGTGACCGGAAAGGAGAAGGTTTTTATCACGATAGCGGTGGACTGTAGGAAATCATGTATTGGTAATGGGAGTACGTGATGGGAGAGGGATTGGTGTACAATTACAGCAGTACCGACATGTGCTTTTCCGTCAGGGTGGTCAGTACGATATGTCAGGTATTGTGGTATATTGAAGTGCTGTTTAGTGGTTAGTCGAGTTTCAGTAATTAGTGCCACATCAATGTTCTTGTCAAGTAGTAAAGTAGATAGTTCGTCTGTATGATTTCTAACACCATTCGCATTCCAAAGGAGAATGGATATGGGTTTAGGGATGTGAGTCATTTAAGGATTTTTCAGAGGAGGGATGAGGTGAGATACGAGATTCGTGAGGAGTGATATGAGTGGAGTAACAAGGGATTTGAAATCGGTGAGGAAAGATGCTAACAAACTTGTGAGATCTGTTGCATTTGAAGGAGGAGGAATATGAGGAATTTGTTGTTGGTGGTTAGGTATATTAGGATGAAGAGGATTTTGAGGTTGGGTTTGAGGTTGTTGTGGCAGGGCTTGACATTTATCGGTTAAAGTCTTACCTCTAAGTAGTTGGGAGAATGATACATCATTGTTTACAATTCTGGAAGGCTCTCTCTCTCTTCTTGTTCTTAGTGCTTCATCTTGAATCCGGTTTTTCTGGTGTCTGGTTTTGAGATTCTTGTAAATTTGGCAGCCTTTGTAGTTGGCCGGGTGTCCCTCCAAGCATAGGGCACATACTGCTGGATCTTGTATAGGTTTGGTGCACTCTACAGATTTGTGCTGTTCACCGCACTTCACGCAACGCGGCAGATGGTGGCAATATGTCTTCGTGTGGCCATAGGCCTGACAATTATGGCACTGCACGATGTCTCTCTTGGGATATGGCTTCTCAACTTTCACCATTGTGTAGTATATTCTTGTGATATCATATATTTTTTCGATACCTGGTGATGGCTCCAAGTCCACGAAAAACAATGGTAGTGGGATCCTATTTCGTAATCCTGGCTGCTCCCTGTCCTCCTTCAAAACGTTTGTTACCTGGCGTACATTGAAACCAAGCGTCGTTAGTTCTTCTTTAATAACTTCAGTGGGGGTTGAGGAATGTAAATTTCGTATCACTACTCGTAAAGCTCTTTCCTGCCTCAGCTGGTAAGTGTGAAAATTCGCATTTGTTTCTGATAAGTACTTCACTATTTTTCGGTAGGCTTCTGCAGAATCAGGTGTTATTTTGGTGTCATTGGTCCTGTTAAGGCATGAATAACTGCCAGAGCAGATTTTATTTAGTTGGGTGCAGAACATCTGGAAATTTTTTATATTTTTCACAAATATCGGAGGAGGCTTTGGTTCTCTGGGTATTGCTGCAGACTCCATTACTTCTCTGTCATTTTGAAGCACTTGGTAGGGGTTTGGAGTAAAGAAAGGTGATTCTTCAATCGTTTCTTGTGCAGACGTACCTGGTTGGGGCTGAGGTTCTGGTTCTGAAGTGTTCATTTTGGTCACTGGAGGTATTTCTCGTAGGCAGCGACGAGTCCTTTGTTTGGCTGGTGAGCTAACTCCGTCTGACCGAGACCTCTTGGGCACCTTACTGGCCATCACTTGCTGATCATACCGCATATCATAAGAGAAAAATAAATAAATAAATAAAAAAATAAAAAAAAAAAAAATTTTTTTTTTTTTTTTTTTTTTTTCTTAAAATAACAAAAAAAAAGATGCCAACAGTAAATATCAACTGCTCTGATATACACTTAACTGTATCACGTGAATAATCAGAGAGATTCCGCTATAAAATTGGTAAAAACTGAGAGAGGAGTTGAGGAGACAACCTTCTCATCAGCTGATCCACTGCCTTCTATCTACTGAAGTAAAAGTAGAAAATAATGGAAAAGAAAAAAACCTGGTGCGGTGAGCGTATCACACAACTTTCACTTATCACCCTCTTCTTAGCAGAAATGAGTATTTTCAGACAAAGGGGAAATGAAAGTAAAAATTATAAACGCGATATCGATTATATTTCATTTTTTGGGTATTTTTATTTGTATAAGTACCCATATATATACAAATTGTAATATCTATATCGCTGTAATCTATTCAATTAATTATTAAATCAATTAACAACAACATCATTTATGAAAACCGCATATGTATATTAACATAATATTGTCTTATTATATTAAGCTCATGTTACGTATGGAAGCGTGTTCTAATCTTTTGGGCGAGCTTACAACTATTCTCCGTTACGAACTCTTATTTCTTCTTTAGTTAATTGTCACATTTTTTCATAAGTTATATTTAACTATCTTTCATATTAGAGACTAATGTGAAATGGTCAATTGTTTCAAATAAAAAAAATTGAAGGTATTTTAGGGGAAGCTAATATGTAAAATTAGCCATTTAAGCCCTGTTAGAGAATATCAATCTGAATAAAACCTACATTTTATTTAAAACTGCTTCATTTTACACAGATACAATGAATTTAATCATCAAGAGCCGTTTTCGAGGAAATCGTTAAAATGTGTTTAGTCCATGATATAAAGAGCCACTTCCGGATAGCCGATTTTGACGAAAAAGTTGCTGTAACATATCAAGCATATTAAAACCATAAATATACAATTTAACTTTCTTAAGATTTTTCATTTTTGATCCAGGCTGTCAACACTAGCACACACACACACACACACACACACATAGACAGACTTATTTGGAATCAGGAGACCTCAAAACATGTATTTCCGTTAAAGATTCCGAAAATTTTCACGATTTCAATACTTACCCTTACTGTATATTTCATTTATAGGTAAGATAAAGTAAACATTAAATAAGGTTTTTTAGTAGTTCATAACTAAATCGAATAGTAATATTTACTGATTTAATTAATAATGCTTAAAAAAATATTTCTATATAACTACTGTGGTATACAACAAAGCAACTAATACTCCTAGCCATTGTTCCATCTAGGAACATGATTCAGTCTTAAATTATCCGAATCGAAGGCCATCTACTGTTCAGAAGATATAATAAATCTTAAGAATTCATTATAATAATAATCACTATAGTGAAATATATACTGAAAAACAGTTAAAAAGGCAAATGAGTTATTACTGGAAAGTGGTGTTACCCAAATGTGAGACTGACACGAGCCTTTGTCTTGCAAACTCAGTTTGGTCATGGTCTTGGTCTTGTGTAAGACTCTCAGATAGAAATATTACTGTAATTTTTTAGATAGAAGAAACCTAACTAAGCCCGAATGAAAAATTAGAGGAGTTAAATGCAAAATTATATTGTTTATACCAATTATTAACATATATTAACTAAGATTATCAAGTAATAGTAAATATTTTGCCCTAATTTTTATTTTTAAAAAATCGATTTTTTTTTACCAGTCCTGGTCTTGGTCGTGGCACTTTGCAAGACCAAGACCGGTTTTGGGCAACACTAGTGGAAAGACGCTGAGATACAGTTTTGATGAACTTTTTTCTTCTTTTTATCTATCGTAAAGACTCTAGAAGAAAAATAAAGAAAATATATTAATGACCTTAATGTGGTCCTTAATAGAAGTTAAAAAAAAAAAAAACATAAATATATATATATATATTTGGATGAACGTATGCATCGTAGCATACAAAAAAGCGCCATTGACCTATATGTAATACATCATATGGTTCATGTCGCCAAAATAGAACGTTATAACACACTCTTTTTATGGGAATTGTGGGTAGAGAAACATAAGACGATGAAAGACTTTCTGAATCGTTTAAATACTTCGCAACGTGTATTAAACAATTTTTTTTTTTTTTATTTTACCACTATTGTTCCCACAATTGGCAGCCATTATCAGATGCGTTACAAAAGGCGGTTGTGGCGCAACGCTCGACCCGCGCCTTTCAGAACATTTTCCAAGGCTAATTGTTATTTCCTTCGTTAATGGTAAACAGTTCGAGTTTTTTTCTTATCCTCCCATAAGCATTAAGAAAATTATTAGCGTAACGAGTCGGATATGAAAGGGCAAGGTTCGACAATAGTTCTCACTGATTCGATTCTGACACATGACCTCGAGACAGGGCACTTTTGAAATATCGATTAATTGTTTCGAATCCCCTCTGGTGAAATCGATAAGCACGATCAAACGATGAATCATTGCCGATTATCGGGATTTTAAGGTTCAGATTTGTTTGTTCAGATAAAAAGATTACTAGTTACTTTACCAACTAATGAATTATCGTAGACTTAATTATTTATAGTGTGGACACGAGATTTACTGACAGCATACATACTGCAATAAACAGCGTAACACATTCCTCAACTAATTTACGACATAAATCTAACCGATCTAACAATTAATAAGAAAAAAAAACACGTTTTTTACTACGAAAGGAAGTAGCTCAATATCTAAACCAGTAAATCGCAACTCCGAAAGTCCGGTCCAAGGTCATATATAATATATTTTATCAGTCCTAGATCGATGCAGAGATATAGAGACACTTTATAAATTCGGGAAATACTTTACAAATAACTCTCAGTTTAGATCAGAAATCAATGAATCCTTATCACGTATTTAACTTAATAACTAATTTATTTATTTATTTGTTTCTTGGCAACACGGATTTTCGATAAACGTATAGAGCTGTTTCTACTACTTATTCACCCATCATTCAGTATTTTAATTCGTTGAAGAAGGTTTGAATGATCAACCTCCACAAGTGTTGCACAAGACCGATTTATTGGATAAAAATTGAGGCAAAATAGTTACTAATACTTGACACTTTTAGTTACTAAATGTAAAGAATTGGTGTAACCAATATACTTTTGCATTTAACTCTTCTAATTTTTCATTCAGACTTAGTGAGGTTTCTCATATCTAAAAAATGACAGTGATATCTCTCTAGTTATAAGCTAATAAGTAACTGCAAGACTGTTACGAGAGTCTTCCGCAATACCAAGAGCTAGACCAAGACTGAGTTTGCAAGACCAAGACTCGTCCCGAATTCGCATTTGGGCAACACTAACCCCCACCGATTCTTTTCACCCGTGCACGAAGGTTTTGTAGTAAGAGCAGTTATCCTTTTTTAGTAGAGGAGGGAAATCGTCCTCCGTGATGTTTTACAGTCCAGTTTTCTTAGTAATTGGTGCAAGTCGTGGCGACATTTTCCGGAAAAACAGTTCCGAAAAACCACAACATGGATAATTGATTTTTCATTCCACGCGTAAATCAGAATACCCAGTATTACTTCTTAATTTGCATGACTCAAACAATTTTGCACATAATGCTCCTAATAACTTACTGTATTAATTCAGATTGTACTCAATTGGTATAATTTTTTTATAGGTATTTACTAAAGTATCGAAGTGCCTTAAAGTTATAACTTTTTCATTTTCCCCTTGCAGGTCCCCTAAGGCCCGGAGATCCGTCGACGTCAGCCTCATGGTGGCGACAGGAGCTTGCACCGGGACAGAGCAGCTTCCCCGTCGATGACGAGTCCGATTTCTTCTCTGCCAGCCACGGTCTAGTCCAGACTCATCCTCTGGGACCCGGTTTCGGCCCAACAGTGGTCGACACCAACCCCAGCAAGTACGCTCCAGCCTCTTCCCTCGACTTCGACAGGAGGGGACTTGAAGAGCTGCAGAGGAACCCACTCCTCTCATCGCCCGAAGAATGTGCCAGGGCCTGCAGGGAAGGAGAACCACCAAAAGTCTGCTATTACCACTTCACCGCAGAGTTATACACAGTCCTAGGAGCGTATGTATAAAAAAATACTGAATATATTTAATAGTGCATACACCATGGGGTCAGCCAATTTTGGTTTGGCGCCCTAATATTCATAAGCCTAGGCAATAACGGATATCTTACAGATCAGCATCAGTAAAAAGATCGAGTTTTATGTCGAAATAAAAGCATAAAAGAATAGTTGGACGAAGGTTTTAAAATATAAGTTGCAAAATAAAGTGGAATAAAAATAAAAAGTTGTAACACACGTCACTACTGAAACTAGGTCTTTGAAACTTAAAGTTCAGTTGATCTAGTCATGTCTGCACAACTCTTGCGCATTAACCACCTGCAGACTTCTAAAAAAATAACTTGAAGACATATATTTCAAAACACGTGGGTAATTATAGACGTTAAGATATAGATACGTGAATATGTGATTTAGATTAATATCAGCAGTCATGTAGATCATTCCATGAACGCATATTACCCGATACATCATTAAACCTGATTTATATTCAAATAATAATATTTTGTAACATTAACTGATCATAAATCTGTAATTAAAATCTAAGAATATCTTGATAAATTATCAGTAAATTATTATTTTAAATATTCCTAAATTAAAATTAAGTTCAATATGTTTAATTAAATTCAGACTGAAGAATGGTGTGAAAATTGGAAAATTAAAATTAATCTAACCAAATTACTTTTATCCTTCGTCGTAAACCTACTACATCCTGCCCTACAGTACCCTTAAACAATATTCCACTGATCCCTATCGAACAGATCCGTTACCTAGGACTCCTTCTTGAGAAACGCCTTACTTGGAATCCTCATACAGGACCATAGATAATAATAACAATAAAATTCGAAAATAATTAAATTCATATCAGACTAAAACGACAAGAAACCGTTTCCGACTACTTCAACAATTAATAGGCCAACGCTCTAAGCTTCCAATTCATTACGGAATACCCATATACATAACTATAATACGGCCTGTTTGGACTTACGGATTTGAGTAATGCGTTTCATGTTGAGCGCTTCATCTTTGTTCTTTAAACAAAATATCCCTTAACAAAAACGACATAAAATTTTCATTTCTTAAGTTTATTTATTCAAAGCTGAAAAGTTTCTTCGAACAAAAAATAAAAATCCTTAAAGGGTATCGAAATAAATGTATTGAAAGGGACATATGTTACTTTAGATACAAATAATACCATTGACCTTTATTTTATTTTATTTGAATTACACCCTAGGAACCGACATATGTTACCACGCAAAATAATTGTTCTTTATTTTATTGAGTATTAATACAGTCTGCCACACTGAAGGGCACAAAATAAATTTAAAAATATATAATTTTTGTTGTTGTTTTTTTAAAAAACATTACGTCAAAGGTCACAAATAATAAATAAAGATCATATCTAATACAGTATAATTATACCGAAAAATTCGAACTTAGATGAACTACCTCTAAACCCTTGCTAAGAATCGTTAGCCAAACCATCATTTTATGTTGCGATAAAATTGATTCGTGTCAACAAACTATCGAAAAAATCCCTATAAGCTTACATAACAGCATAATGGCCATATATATATATATATTTACCAGACAAATTTCATCATTAAAAGATGTTTCAACGATAAGTGGTCGATTATCGATTATCGATTATTATCGATGAGTACAAAGATGTATTCCAAAGAAGGGTAAAGAACTACAGTTTACAGTTAGGTGCATTGCATCAAATTGAAAGTAATTGGATAACAGTTTATAAATTACAAGAAATCTTATTCAGCGTCTTTACGCTATAGAATATGGTCAAATGTCTCTTTAGGGAAAATACCATTGTAATAATTCAAAGTTTTTCTCTTAGGGGAGGGGGAATAAACTTTTTTTATTTATTTTGAATATATTATTAAAAATGACTCCTCCATGATTACTTACATGAACTGCAACACGCTCTTCTTAACATAATCTCGATACAAAGGGTGTTAAATCAAAATATTCACAGAATGCCATCCTATATCAAAATATTCCAACCATGATTATTCAATAAGATGTTGAAGATCATTCAAAGTATAACAAAAGAAATTTAGTTCATACAATTGTTTATATCTTGCCAGACCGATTCCTCTACTAATGTCATATTTTTTTTTCATATTATATTTTATTGATTTTATTATTTCCTATTGTTTTTCATTCAAAATTATTGAAACAAGTAAAATCTATATGCTTTTCTAAGGTTTTACACAAATTATAATGAAGAGGAGATTCAGAGCGATAATAGAAAAAGATCTCGAAGCAAAACTGATTCAGACTTCACAGACAGTCCCAGGATCAGATATTTTCATGAACCTTTTGGCTCCGTGCTACGTAATAAAACACGGAATGCACAGAAGGCAAATAATTAATTTTAGAAGCCATTAGGAGTCTGGTTCGATATGAAGATAGGCGTAATGCAAGCAGACAATCTAAGCACTCTTCTCTATAACATTCTGATAAAGCTGGAACTAAAACGAAAGGTCATGATTATAAATTCTAATAAAAACAAATTCATAAGATGCTGATCATTTAAAAAAAATTTTTAAGGCAGTAGAAGACGACTGTGAGCGAAAATAGGATAATTTAACAAGAAATACAGTTCCTCGAAACTAGACAGGCAAAAGAGGAAAAGTAGGACAAGGATGTCATGGATCCAGAGAAGAAAGAAAAGCTCCTGTATTCCATAGAAAGCATAATCGCTAGCATATGCCATATGCCATGCAGAGAGAAAGAAGGAAGGAAAGAACAATGAAATAGCCAAACTAATTTCTACAAATTTAGTTTGGTTAAAATAAGTTTAAAAGGGAGCGGCTAAGGTGCTCAATCCCTTTCGGGGCCGAATTTGAATCCGCTTTTGGCAGATAATTTATTTATTCTGTTACATCAGTCGTGGATCCAGGTTGGAAATCGAGAAACCATCTTTTAGTACGCCCGGCCTCTGTAAACTGGATACCTGACCATTCTATTTCTTTTGGGGGGGGCAACCTGGCCGCTGAGCGTAATATTCGTCAGATTATCACATTTTATTTCATCAGGAAAGAATATTAAGTTTTCCCGTATGGATCTCAAAACTCTCCATGGGCTGTATAGTTTTTTTGTTTTTAAGGGCATAAAACTTTCTGGAAAAAAAAAATGTTTGCAAATATCAAACATATACTATATATTGCAAATACAATATTACCAATATTGCAAATACAATTTTCCTGATAGGTCACGTTGTTCTTTAAAAAAAATTATTTTTTTTTATTAATGTCAGATGCCACATAAGTGGTTCACTTATTCGTGAACATTGGTTGGCACATGAAGCCGGTCAGAGAACTAGATCTAGTTGAGAAAGAGTACGCAAAAGTGGGTTAAAGTCCCTTACGAACTGTAACATAAATTCATGCAAGGCAGTAACTTAGCTAATGAAGCAAGCACTAGACTCGATTTAATTGAATATAAACCACTCCAACGGCCTATTTATTATGCAATCAATACAACATAATATGACGCTTACTATCTCTATGGTAGTGGGAGTTGAACTAGTAATTGAATAAATTTCATTAATAATAATCATATATTTATGAATATTTTATTAACTATTATTTGCGTCCTCAGTATGAATAAAACGAATGCACTCTTTGTAAGATCTTTTTCACATCTTCACGAATAATTAATTAAAAAACATACTATTTTTTCAAAAATAAACATTTTTTTTTTCAAAATCAACATACTAATACATAATAACATAAAATATACAAATTGAGTACGATAACAATAAAAACTAGAAATTTATGAATTTTGTAAATGTAATAATTTTGCCAGCTATATCCGTAAGTACAGTTTATCCTTTTATATAATAATACATTTTTATTATTGATGGCTCATTTCTTCTTTACAGTTTTGTAACAGGGCCGGAACGAGGCGATGTATCGGTGAATATTAAATAATATATAGATATAATTCCCTTTGTTATCATTAACTCCCTTTATATTTTTTATTTTAAATATAGATTTAAGCAAAAGTTCAGTGCCCTTTCATTGTCCATTTAGAACTTACTGAAAACGATAAAATTGTTCCTCATATCATTTTTTTTTTTCTCTTTTCTAAAACGAAACGTTATCTGCGGGTTACGAATACTCCAGACGTTGGTTGACCGAATTCTGCCAATCAAGAAAATTGATCAATCTCATTCGGTGTAACACGGTCGTTGAAAAGCAACATATAATGGAAAACCCCAAACGATTCCTAGACAAACCGGCAGCAGAAATCAATCACATGTTAGCCAACAAAGGTATGGTGGAAATGCTGTGTTTTGTATCAGACTCAGTTTTGTTGCTGTTGCACACTACTTGGAAACGTGGAGGAGTTATTGAGAAACGTGCAGGAGGCACATGAGATAGATACATATAGGTCACAACTGAGCGAAACTTCCTGCGTGTCCGAGGGGTACGACTTAGGATTATGGCTGTGAAGGAATGTTCATCATCAATCGCCACAGCTTCCTTCATCTTGGTATCTTTACATAGTACAAGAACGCTTAAAAGGATATTCAAGTAAATACTTCCACTTGTAAAATTGTATATAAAATCTTCTGCGAAGTATATCTAACGAAAACTGCATATAGCAGATATTTTCAAAATGTTGAAACTTCCACCAGAATAACATTGTACCGCTCTGATATTGTCAAGAAATTATTTTGTAAAATATTTTCAGTATAGTAAAGAGCATTACAGTAATAAAGTGCTCGGGTAAATTTTCAAATTTTATTTCCTGTAACGTTGGAATTTATTAAATATATGTTTACTGATATAATTTGTTTGGTAAACGTTCACAAAAGTACTCTGCTGCTGCTGAAAAGAATTACGATAAATAGCCGAAATACAATATTACTAACCCAGTGATTTCCCTAAAGAAATGGGAGCACTTTCTAGGTTCCACTTTCGCCGGTTATATACAGCTCGTACGCATTTCTAATTAGGCTTGGATATTCCATGATTGAGACTCTAGAGGACAGATGAAACTCCGAGATCTAATGAAAATTAATTAGGTAGGCATGTATGGAATCTTTGGAACGAAGATCATTATCTCAAGCTACATAATAATTTTAGAGTGAAAATAATTACTATATCTATAAACTAAACACTGTCCATATGATACAATTCTTATTTTTTTTTTAAATGGAAGTAATCTGAAATAAAATTGAATAAAGTGTATTTTATGCGCCATTGAACTCGGGGGACGGGGGAGATATCACCTTAAGAAAAACACAAAATTGGTCTCAACTTCTTATGCGTTCGAAATCGGTCCATGCATCAAATTCACGTTTTTGTTGAAAATTTTGTCTAAAATCCTCCTCTCCACCAGATTTTAGCCATTAAGAACTGAACACCCAGTATACCATGAATACAAAAACCTAATTCGAAAATCAAAATCGTATTAGCCATTAGTCCCATATATTTATACATTATATCAATTAAACCATTTAAACAAATAACTGTTTAGTTCATTAACAACATTAAATATTATAAAATTAAGAAATAATACTGTTTATAGAGCTTGCCAAGTGTGCACGCCGAATGCCACGAATACTGTCTGGAGTCACTGCCAATGTGTCCTCGCTGATGGTGTCGAAAGAGGAATGTTAACCATCAACAGAATGCTTCCAGGTCCCAGTATACAGGTATGTCCTAGATTCAATAGTGACATGCATATATACAGATAAATATAAATGTTTACGATCTTTACTTTTTAATTACTTTAGACGCTTAACCTCTCACTGTATTTCATCCCATGGATGTTCGCAGGTTTGTGAAGGGGACAAGGTAGTAATCGATGTCCACAACGCAATGCAAGGATTGGAACTTACCATTCATTGGCATGGTATCCACCAGAGAGGAACTCAAATATACGATGGTGTCCCGTTCGTAACACAGTGCCCCATCTCAGAAGGAAATAGCTTCAGGTACCAATGGGTTGCAAACGCAGGCACTCACTTCTGGCATGCCCACACAGGTAAAGTTTCTTTCATTGTAATAACTGAATTTCTTGAAAAAGAAATAAACAAAAAATAATGTGTTTGTCAAAATAATTCCTCACGCCATTCTAGTTCATTGAACACGTAACCATTTCCAACAAGTTCTCAAAATAAAACAAGATCATTGTGCAAAGTACAACCAGAACTAGTTTTACACTACTTTTTACTTGCAGGTCTACAAAAACTGGACGGTATCTACGGCAGTATCGCCGTCCGACAAGCACCGTCTCTGGACCCCAATTCCCACTTGTACGACTATGACTTGACCACTCACGTCATGCTCCTCTCTGACTGGATGCATGAAGACGCCATGGAGAGATTCCCAGGAAGACTTGCCGCCAACGTGGGCCAGGATCCAGAGACTCTTCTCATCAACGGAAAAGGACAATTTACTGTAAATATATACTTTCTACCATCAAATTAAAAAAAAAAATTAAGGCTTATTAGGATAGACTTGAAAGCACAAGTAGATTTTATAGGGCAAGGAGGATTTTCAAGATTCTCCTCCTCTCCCAAATATAATTTTTTTTTCACTGATCCATATTTATTTCTATGAGTAATCTGGACTAAATATTTCAGCATTCTCTTTTTAAATTATATATTACATAAACTTCAGATAATAAATATAAGTACGTAACAAGAAAAAATATCTCTAAAAAAGATACTTTTTCTGCTTCACAGTTAAATAACTTACCATTATTTAAAAAAAAAAAAGTCAACCCTACTCCACAAAATCAAATCCTGAATCCGCTACTGCTAGAAAGACCATTTGTTTTTAACATTCCATATCAGCTTCTTATTAAAATTTAACATCCTAAAGTAAACAAGAAAAATCAAATTAAACTATAAGGATGAATCATTGAATACTAATTAATCATTTAACTAAAATTTATATTCTTCATATTCAATTACTTTAATTAAAATTCAGAATATTCTTATATACCTTAACTTATAAAGAAGTTATGCTATCTGGGAGTTTGACTTTCATTGTGCATTAAATGTTGACAGGACCCTAATACTGGCTACAGAACGAATACTCCATTGGAAATTTTCACAATAACTCCTGGTAGAAGGTACAGGTTCAGAATGGTCAACTCACTGGCCACAGTTTGTCCTGCTCAACTTACCATTCAAGGGCATCCCCTTGTTTTGATTGCAACTGACGGAGAACCAGTCCATCCAGTTGTGGTCAACACTATCATCTCATTTTCAGGTAGGAGTTATAGAAAACTAAACACAATTAAGATAAGATAAGAAAGAAGAGTTTTATAAAAAAAAAAAAAACATGTTTATTAAGATTTATTTCGTGAATATAAGTATTATATCTCAGCAATGATGCCGTAGGTGAAAGATACGATTTCGTTATCACTGCTGACCAGCCAGTAGGAGCATACTGGATCCAGGCGAGAGGACTAGGAGAGTGTGGAGTCAACAGGGTCCAACAACTAGCAGTGCTAAGGTACGCCAGAGGACCATACCAACCAGCCACCCAAGCCCCTACCTATGATGTAGGCCTCCCACAAGGAGTTGTGAGTACAAATATAATTTAATTTTACTTTTTAAATAAATTTTTGAGACATAATGTGTCAAAGAAACAGTGACACGTTTCTATCATCTTGAAACATCCTTATTCAATATTAGCCATACTTTCCTAAATCACTACTTATCGATCCTATCATAATTTCAAAATTTAAGGTCCTTAATCCACTGGATGCCATCTGTAACCAACCAAGAAATGATGCCGTCTGTGTAAATCAACTTAAGAATGCCAGAGGAGTAGATGAGGGTATACTTCAAGAAAGACCAGACGTTAAGATCTTCCTTCCATTTAGGTTCCTCTTCTACAGACCTGAAGAACTATTCCAGCCACATCAGTATAACAGATACCTTGGTAAGGATAGATTTAATAACCTATTATCTACATTGCTGAGTTATTAAACAATCTTACAGTTTTAATTATTTGCAATTAATTATTTCTTATATATATATATATATATATATAAAAGAATAAAAAGCATTGAATAAGTTTGACCTTCTAGTTTTAACCAGTAACTGAACCCCCTTTGATATTCAGATAAATACCAGATTTAAACCAAATAAATTAAATTCTATACTTTGATAGAGAGAGTAGGAGAGAGAGGTTAAAAGGCTCCCTAAATTTTAACTGACATAATAATAGAAAAATCTCCCACAAAATTACACATACAAACGACCAAAACTTCTAGTATACACTGACAATCAATTTCACAAATATATTGTTGTTTACTGGGAGCTAACATTAAAATTGCTTTTTATTGTGCCAGATTTTCATTTTTTTTTTTCAGCATGAAATTGATTCTATCTATATAAATGTTTTATTTTATTTTCAGTTGCCCCAACTAGCGACCATGTCATCAGTTTGATAGATGAAATCTCATTTGTTTTCCCTCCGGCACCACCAATATCTCAGATAGATGAAATCCCACCAGAGCAATTTTGTAATGGAGATAACAAACCACCAAACTGTGGTAGAAATTGCATGTGCACACATAAGGTTGACATACCATTGAATGCTGTAGTTGAGGTTGTTCTTGTAGATGAAGGTAAGTACAGACAATAACATTTATAAATAACATGTTTATTGATAAACATATTAGTTTACAATTAAATAGAATCTATTTAGAATATTCTAATTTAGTCCAATAATCTAAATTTTGTAAGATGTAATTAAAATACTTCAAGTATTGAAAAATCATTAATGTTTTAAAAATTGAAACAGCTTAGTGTTGCAATTTTAAAATTAAATTATTTGATTCTCACAAATTTCACTAAGTAGCTAATGAAATCATTGACTGGTGAACGGATAACAAAGTTTCATCCATTGTGTAATAGAAAATTCAGCTAATGTGTGAACTTTTGTTTTGGAAATATTTGTAATCGATCTTGCCAATGTAAAATTATGGGCTAATTCAAAATTGTAATAGTATTTTATTTTTGATCAAACCTCATGCAAATGAAGAATTTATTTATATAAAAAAAATTAAAAATAGATATTTGTTATAATTTTTTAAGTATGAAAAAGTAAAAATTTATTATATAAACTTATCTCAATACATACAAAACCTTTCTACAACTAATAAAAAATATTAATGTTACAGTTCAGCAGCCTAATCTTAGCCATCCATTCCATTTACATGGTTACTCCTTCAATGTCATCGGTATGGGTCGTTCTCCTGATAGAAATGTTAAGAAAATTAATTTGAAGCATGCGTTGGATTTGGACAGGCGTGGTCTCTTGAACAGGCAGTTTAATCTGCCACCACTTAAGGATACAATTGCGGTACCCAACAATGGATATGTTGTTTTCAGATTCAGAGCAGACAATCCAGGTATGTATATTTTTAAAAAATGTGCCATCTTCTTTTTAACTGATATACTTAGTTTCTAACTCAAGTAAAGCAAACTGTACTAGTTCAAATGAAACTTATAAATAGTTTGTAACATAGTTTTTATTTGACACAGAAACAACTTCTTTTTTTTTTTTAATTTAGAATCATAACTGTGAATTTTAATAGTTCTTTATACAACAAAAAGTAAATTAAATATTTTATTTCAATAATAAAAAATAATGAATATCAACTTTCAGGTTACTGGTTATTCCACTGTCACTTCTTGTTCCACATCGTCATCGGCATGAATGCTATTCTTCACGTTGGAACACAAGGCGATCTTCCACCCATACCTCATAACTTCCCACGATGTGGAGACTTCTTACCACCAGTCACCTTCCATGATTCATAATCAATTGAAATCAACCATCCTGAGGCTATGAATCGGAATAAAGTACCACAGTTCGACAGTTGGAGGCGAAACATTTCTGATATCAAGTGTTTCCCCTCCAGTTACACGTGGTCGTAACCTCAGTATTTATGGTGGTCTATTTTGGTGGTAAACGATATTAAAATAGATTAAAAGATGTTTAAGTAGCAATTTCTTAATGAGTTTTTAACTTGTTAAGGGAGGCAAAATATCTTCACAGTTGACATATCGTTGTGCCAGAAACCATATTTTGTCATTATCATTTGCCATCAAATCACTGTAGTCCACCTACGAACTTTTTGTGATACAAAAAGACACAAGGTTTTATATAAAAATCTAGATTACATAAACAATGGAACGGAATAATATGCAAATTGGCATTTAAAAAAATTATTACATTTAAATAGTTTTTCTAGAGAACCTTGCCTTTTTTTGTTTCACTGATACTATGTTAGTAAATTAATTTAACATTTAATTAAGAGAAACATCAAACTTTTCACAGGGCTTCATTTGTATAATTGTTATCTAAATAGGTTAGATAGTTATTTTTGAAAAAAATATGTTTACTTGTTATAGAAAATATTTACATTTAAAATGTTGCTATTTAAAAAATAAAAAAAAATAAAAATACAACCGATGAGTTAAAAATATTGTTGCCATACTACATGAAACCTCAAAATATGATAATGAATTCTATTATGTTTTATCTCATGTATTATGCACCACCAGATTATTAATTTCAATATGTAGCCTACACATATTTTATTGCAATTATAATAGTTATTACCATTTAAAAAATAAATTTTAATACAACAAATGTTGTAATGCTCAATTAAGCTTGCCAAACTAATAAGAATATTTTATAATTATTTATTTTTCAACTAAATTAGGCAAGCATTAAAAAAGAGCAGTATGTTTTACAAAAACTGGAATAAAATAGTAGAATAATTGATGTCATTGGATTTATACACAGTTACCAAATCCTACTAGAAAATACCAAAAATTTTGTAATATAATTTTTTTTATTGTTTTTTTATAAAATATCAAAATTTAATATAAAAAATAATGCTTCAATACTAATTATGACAGTGGATCATACCAAACTACCATCAGTCAATAAATAAATTGATATTGTAAAACATAGTATTTATGTATTGTTTGTATCATTTGCATATATAATATGTACTTGTATATAATTGTTTTATATTTTAATGATGTATCTAAAATATAACATTTAAGTCTCAAGACTACATGTTATTTACCCCTGAGTTTTAATCATTATGTATAATTAAAATAAAAAATAAAAAGTAGATTTGATTAATAGCGATATTTATCCAGTATTGAAACATTTCATACACTAAACTTATTATCTGTTTCAGCCATTCCCTACATGATTAACTACTTACCTTATGAAAACTTGCAAAAAATAAAAAACAGCTGTTTTTAAAATGAAAATGAGTAGTAAATTTAAATCTAGAACAGTAGATTGAAAACACTCCAGGTTAACTGCACCAGTGATGTCACAGCTAAGGAAATTGTTGTCTTTTTTTGCTTATACCGCTATAATTATTATAGTTGTAAACTTCTCTGTTTGACATTTAGAATTTCTAGGGTCTCCTTTTTCTATTTAAAACTTTAAAATTGAAAAAAATATTTAGTTGTGCAGATATAATCTGCACTTTAAAAAAACACATTTTTGCATAAGTGATGCACATCCTGAAATTCAATTGTTTGGGAACTTTATTCAAACAGTTGTCAATAAAGGACATTTTTTTTTCAATCTAGAAAAAACTAGAGTCTTCAAATCAACAAGGAAGCTTATTATATAAATTTAAAGGACAACTTGCCCATGACTGGGCCCCCAATCCATAATTGGTGTATTCATCCTATTAACCTATTAACCGATTATTCAACAAAAAAGCACCACAATTATAGACATTAAATCCATAAAAACCAAGCAATGGGATGTTTTTTATTAAAGACAAATTATAACAACCAAGTAAATTTATATTGGATTTAACTAATTCACCTGAAAAGTAACCACTCCCTCTGAGCAAAGTTTTATATTTAATTCCAAAATCTTAAAATGTACAGGGAATATAATAGATTGTAATTTATAATTGTGGTCAGTGCAGTTCTTATGTTCATTCATATCAGAATAAGAAACTACGATAAAGCGAATTTGAATTTCTAGCCTAAAATACATGGAACTACTTCCTTTTTACATCATCACCTTCTTTAGATTTAATTCTAGAGTGCTACCAATGGGTAGATTCTCTACAAGCCTTGTCATGTCATATATTTCTTTGTATTACATTTGCTAAATGTATATTAATTTGTACAGTTGTAAATTTCATAAATAATAAAAAAAAAAAAGAAGATTTAATTCTTGCAGAGACCAAACATGTGAAGTAATTTATTGGTAGAAATATTAACTAGAATGATCTTAATGGGGAAACTATCTTCAATCTGCTTCAGGAAACCTATGCAAATTAAAAAACATGCTCCTGACTATATATATACTGACTTTTAATTCCAAAAATAGTGTCACACCTTATACTTTTAACTATAAAAGGCCTTACTTTAGTTGTGTGTTCCTTTTCTAGAAAATTTCATTCAGATTTTAAACAGCTCAATCCACACTTCTTAGTTTGTTTATGGACTATGTTACAACCACTACTTCCAAGTGACCAACAACAATCAGTAGTAAACTTACAAAATTCATTCTTTTTCTAGAGAAAAAAAAAAAGAGTTGAAAAAATTATTACAGATGAACATTTTTGAACAATCTAACCAATTTTAAAAAAATCATTAAACATTCAATTAGCTCTCCTTAAAAATCAATATTTTTCACCTTTGAACTTTTTGTCCCCTCACCCTCTCTCCTTCACTACAGAATTAATAAAACTGAGTCATATCCATTTGTGCTTTTAACACTGCTCTCGAAAATTGATATTTCAGGAGATAGAAACAGATACTACATTTTTAAAAAGCATACTTTCATTTTAAAAAAAAAAGGATTTTATCAGATTTCAGTAAATTTTATAAAATTGAATACACCACACTGTAAGAATATAGGGCTCAACTCAATGTATATTTTTTTCAGATCAAACATAAAACAACTCAATATATTTTTTTTTTTCAGATCAAACATTAAAAAAAAGAATAAATGCTGTATAGATTATATTCTTGCAGTATGATATTTCCCTTTACAATGGATTTAAAACTATTCAGATATTCATTAATAAATGTAATACCAAAATTTAATAATCAAAATTAGACATTTAATTAAAAAGACAAGGATAACTGAAGGAGTTGGAATTAAGTTCATCATGGTCACCTATACATGTGATAGCTCCTAACAAAAATCTGGTGTGTCCATTCACACGACTTTCCTACCTATTTCAGAAAAGTTTTTATATCTTTACATATGTTCATGAAGAAACAAAAAAGAATTGAGAGGACTCTGAAACGTATAGATCCGTCGAAAACCACATGTCCGAAATTTGACCCAATTGCAATACTTTCCTTACCTAGTATAGGTAGGAAAGTAATAAGTTAAAAAAAATAGAATAAGCTGTATCATCGCTAATCCTGGTTCGATTCCGATGATTTTTTGTTTTGTTGGAAATTTAATTACCTTTCAAAAGTTTTATTATAAATTTTATCGTATAATATATACTTATGGAGTTAGGCTCCATATATTTTTTTTTTTCATTATAACTTCTTTTCCTGAATTTTTTGGGGAATTTAGTCTGTATACGAAAATTGAAAGAACAATGATTAGAACATTATAGGAAAGTTTCATCAAAATCATTTCAGTAGTTCCCGAGAAAATCTTGGCACAGACAGACAGACAGACCAATGGCTAAAAATGTGTTTTTTGGACTCAGGGGGCTCTGAAACATATAGATCCGTCGAAAACTGCATGTCGGAAATTTGACCCAATTGCAATACTTTCCTTACCTAGTATAGGTAGGAAAGTAATAAGTTGTGGGCGGGGTAGCCGAATGGGCTAAAGCGTGTGCACTGCACCGCCGTTGCCTGGCAACCTGACATATGAATACAAAGATATAAAAATAGTCACGAGTTCGCGTCCCGGTGCCGGGGGAGTCTTTTAAATCCCCGCCCACACTCCCTGGCCCGGGAAAATCCCGTATAGCCTTAACGGCGAGGAAGGGAAGGACCCAAAAAAAAAAAAAAAAAAAAAAAAAAAAAAAAAAAAAAAAAAAAAAGTAATAAGTTAAAAAAAAATGCATAAAAAAATAGAATAAGCTGTATCATCGCTAATACTGGTTCGATACCGATGATTTTTTTTTTTTGTTTTGTTGGTAATTTAATTACTTTTCAAAAGTTTTATTATAAATTCTAACGTACAATATATATACTTAGGGAGTTAGGCCCCATAACATTTTTCTTTTCTTTATAACTTTTTTTCCTGAATTTTTTGGGGAATTTAGTCTGTATACGAAAATTGAAAGGACAATGATTAGAACATTATAAGAAAATTTCATCAAAATCGTTAGAGCCGATTTTGCGCTAGTCTATAGAAAAACATGTTTTTCATTTATTGCGTGCAAGCTATTGCGCATGGAGCACCGAATTTCTTTCACATGCCATCAGTACTCAAAACCCTACAAAATAAAAAAAGAAGAAACAAAATCGGTTCAGTAGTTCCCGAGAAAATCTTACAGAAAAACAGACAGACAGACAGACCAATCGCTAAAAATGTGTTTTTCGGACTCAGGGGGCTCTGAAACGTATAGATCCATCCAAAACCGCATGTCGGAAATTTGACCCAATTGCAATACTTTCCTTACCTAGTATAGGTAGGAAAGTAAAAATACATTCAATCAACTATTATTACTTTCATTTACCTATATATGAAATATATAGTAAGGGAAAATACTGCAGTTATGAAAAAATTGTATTTAAGTTTGCAACAGAAAACATAGTTTTGGTTTTGGCCCTCTAAATCCAAATAACGAAGTCTTGCAAAATAGCTTATGCAGATGTGATCACTCTAATTCAAAAACGAAAAGTCATATGAAACCAAAATCAAGGTAAGTATTTTCCTGGGAAATACATAAAAAATCGTAAAAAGGAGATGGTACTTATGAAATTGAGATTACACATTTATAAGATTCCCACAAAAAAGAGTCTAAACCATTTTGAGTAAACTTCAAAGCAATGTACACTTAAATGATTTTCAATATCAGGCAGGATCTATCTTCATTGAAATGGTCAGACAGGGATTAAATCCCAAATATTCAAATTTTTTTAAGGCTGACAACCAAATACATATAATGACTGAGTTGTCATTTTTGAATTGTTCAAAAACTATGTTATCATATTTTTGTGAAAAGTGCATGCAGCTGAAAATATTTCAACCAGTGTTAATAAGTTAATAAATAAATAAGAATAATGGATTGATAAAACATACGGTAATAATATTCAATAACTTTAAACATGATGATATATTTAAATAATAAAATATTTACTGGCCCATTTGAGCAGAAATTTAATTATTCAATGAGGTTGGTAAGTGATAGTTGTGTGATGTACACCACACCAGATTTTGGTTTAACAGAAGCAACATGATGACTTTCACAAGCCTAAATGAATATTATTTCAAATCTAACTCGTTTAGCTAAAATCTATTGATGGTATTAGTATCAAATCTCTGGATTTATGAAGCCTTATTATAACTAACTATAAGAAATAATAAATAGAGCACTTTGAAAGCATACTTTTCATGAAAAGAAAATATTTTTAAACTTTATACAAAGTAGAAGAACTTAAAGTTTGTAAAATGAAAAAGAAACATGTAACATTGTAACATTAGGGTATATAAAAAAATCTTTAAAATGGAATAGAAGCATAGACAGTTTGTAAATTAAATAGGTGAAAATATCATAAGTAAATATAAAAAAAAGGTCAAGATCTACTTGAAAAAAACTTAATAATAGGAAACAAAGCAGTCTATGTATTACAAAAACGAGGAACTAATATAAAAAAGAATTTGTCATCTTTGTTTGGACATGAAATGTTAGGTTAACAATACAACTGGAGCTTATTTATAGTATAAGGATATAGCTATCTCTAATGTTTTATCACATATAAACCTAGAGGTCATTCAACAATGTCACAAGGTCAAGTAAATGACAAAACATAAATAGAATAAAAAATAAATAAAACATAACTCCAAAATTTTTAAATGGATCAACTAAGTAGTGTTTTTCTCCATCAGCCCGAAACAAAGATATATTTTCTTTGTTACCACATGTCTGGAATGACTAATATAACACAGCCCCATCGATTTCTGTAACTGGAATGTATTAAAAAGTTAAATCACTTTAAAATCCCTAAACATGTAACCATGAACCAGGAGAAGGTAAAATATTTATGATATATAAAACTCTTTTTTTAAATAGCAAAGTTTCAAACTTAAAATTTACAAATTAAGCAAATGTATTTCCTAGTTAATAGCATTCATTTGGTAAAGGATTAAGGATAACAAATTTTATTTTAATTTCTGTACTTCTAAATACATACAAAATCATCACAAAATGGTAATATACAACATGATTTACATCTTGGCATATGTACAATTAAGAATTTATATTCATTTTCACAACCCTTTAAATGTTGATTAACATTTTTTAAACCTTTATTATTAAATAGATAAAAATTATTAAATAAATAACAGAATATACTTGAACAGCACCTTTATACATCCTTAAACAGTTTTGAAAGACTACATACACTCCAACTTTGGATATCCAACATCATATTCATTGTATATTAATTTATTAGTCCAGTATAAAATGAAAAAAATAAAAGCTACAAACTTATTCATCATTAAATGTAGTAAGAAAAACTACACTATCAGCTATTGTAAATATATGAGGATATTTGGATAAAAAATTCCTCAATTCAGTAATAGTTTTAACAACTTCTTGTACATCACTTGGTGCTTCATGCAAGTAATCAAATAATTGAGAAAGGGAAAATACCTTATTTGAAATTTTATTAAACATAATCTTATAAAAGAACTGTATCGTTCTATGCATAGCTATTTTCTTCTTTTTTAACAATTCTTCATTTACACTATCACGGTCCTCTCTCACTTCAAGCTGAATGTCTCTAATTCCTTCATGGCAACTAACTAATTGTTCAATCCACTTCGGTTGCTCCAGTTGGGAAATAACAAAATCAGTTAGAGAAACTTTATCTTTATGAAGTAAAAATATATTTGGGAACACTGACAAAAACGAATTCAATTCTTTAATATTTTTAACCATCATTTGGACATCCTCCATTGCACAATTTCTATGACTGAATAAAAGAGATAAAGGTAATTCACATTTTGGACTTTTTTCAAATAAAATATTTGAATAGAATTGTATTGTGCTGACAATGACTTCATGGTTGGTAGTAGACTGATGATGTTCTGGTAACATTTCTTTGATCCAACCGCGCTGATTTTTGTGAAATGCTTGCAAATCTGAAAGAGTGACTGTCTGTTTTTCATGGTTGACAGAAAACAATTGTGGATATTTCGATAAAAAAACTTTCAGCTCCTTAGTATTCTTAACAATGTCTCTAACATTACTTGATGCTTTAGAACTGTGAGAAAAAATACTTCCAATAGTATGTTCCAAATGAGGTCCTTTTCGCCATATAATATTAGAATAAAACAATATAGCACTAACTTTACTATACTGAGAATTTTTTTTGACAGGAACCTGTTTCTTATTATTATCTGAAGAAGCAATACTAATATATTGTGAACAATTATCAGGATTGTTTAGACTACTGTTATCACTAACCATCACAGAAGAGTTGGAAGAATCTACATTTTTAACCGAACGCTGTTTTTTTCTTTTTTTAACTTTTGATTCACTCTTATTACTAACTAAACTAACAAAATTATCTTTTACTATAAAAATATCAGAATACTTATTAAAGAAATCTTTTAATTCTGACTGAGTTTTAAATAATTCTTTAATCTCTTGAGGAGCTACACATAGGTATTCAAAGAGTTTGCTATCCATAATATTCTTACCTTTTCCCTCTGTCTCTAATATAGATTTAAAAAAGTTTAATGTCATCAAGGTCTTAACATCTTTAAGCGTAGAATCATCGTTCTGGATTTTATGATCATTAGAACTCAAATTTCTTTTACTTAGTTCATTACTTTCATTAGTACTTATACTAATTTTATCATAAAAATTATTACTGTCAATTATTTCCTCAATCCATTTTGGCTCTATTTTATGTGACACAGCTACTTCTGTCAGAGAAACTCCTTCATCGCTGATTTTAAATATTTCTGGATACATTGATAAAAAATCTTTTAATTCATTTGCACTATTAGCTAAAGTCTGCACATCCCCCATAGCTGTTTTTCTATATCTAAATAAACCTTTAATTGGTAAAACTTCTAAACTTCTTCCAAAAATAATATTAACATAAAATTGAATTCCACTAACTACAGTTTCGTGGTTAGTTGTTGATTGATGATATTTTGGTAAAAGTTCTTTAATCCAATTTCTCTCATTTTTATAAAATGATACCATATCAGTCAACATCACTGTTTGCTTGCTATTATCAACAGTAAATATCTGAGGGAATTTCGATAGAAATTCTAATAACTCACTAGGTTTCTTGGCAATTTCTTGAATTTCCTCTGATGCTTCAGTTCTAAAACACAAGAGATTTGATATCATATGTTCTGAGTTAGGACCTTTTTTGAACATAATATTTGAGTAGAATCTGATTGATCTAATAATAGATGATTTCTTAGAAATAGATCCTTTCCTAACAGTATTTGCTGAAGGAATTTTATTTTGAATATTAATAGGAGACACAGTTTTGTTAGCAGGCTGAGAGTGTAAATTCATATCACTCAAGGCAGTTTCAACTTCTTTTGTAACACTACCAGAGTGCCTCAACTTATAATTAACATCTAAATCTTTATTTTTAGAAATTGATTTTTTCAAAAGTACAACGTCATTGTTCAAAAAAAATACATTGGGATATTTATTCAGAAAATCTTTTAATTCTAATGGAGTTTTTATTAACTCTCGTAGTTCTGGAGACGCTAAATATTGATATCCAAACAGACTAACAACGGGAAATTCTTTATTATGACTTACTCTATCAATAATGGATGAATAAAATTTTATTGCTAAAGCTTCTTGATCATCATAAGCTTCTGTACAAGGTATAGTGAGATCTAAACTTTTTGTTAGGCAGACATTATTTTCCTCAACTGTAAAAATATCTGGATGAGTAGATAAAAACTTTTTCAATTCGTTTTGAGTTTTAGCTAAAGCAATAACTTCAACTGATGCCAGGCTTCGATAGCCGAACAAATGTTCAACAGGAACTTCTAAATTGGAACAAAATCTCTTTAAGACTCTAGTATAAAAAGCAATAGCTTCTGTTGTTGAATAGGTTTCAACATAGCAAAGTTTTTCATACCTGGTGTGCTTGGAATGTTTTTCATCAGCTAAATTTTTAAGAATTACATTATTATGATTAACAATAAAAATATTAGGATATTTTTTAAAAAATGCTTTTAATTGAAAAATATCTTGTATTTTAATCTCAGAAGGGGCTAAATCAACATATATTTTTAAGCGAGCAATAGGAAATTCTGTGTCTACACCCACTTTTTCCTTTAAAACCCAGACAAAAAACATTAAGCTTTCATTAACCTTATTTTTAGGAGCATTTATACTTTGATCTTCATAACTCTTCTTAAGAAGAATATAATTGTCAGTTAAATTTAAAACATTAGAATATTGACCAATTATTGACCTGAAATCTTTTTCATTACTAAGAATTTGCTGCAATTCAGAAGGTGCCAAACTAATGCATTTCTTAAACTGTATTAAAGGAAACTGAACGTTAACTCCAACATTTTGTAACAAAAAATTTACACAAAAGTCTTTCACTTGTTCCATAAAAATTGGCTGGTGAATAGGTTTCACACTCTTATTCAAACCAGATAATTTGGATTTTAATAGAGTATCATCGATATCAGTAGCAATGTCACTATTTCTCAAAAAAACCACATCATCTTTAACAATGAAGTCGTTGGGATGATAAGATAAAAACAATTTGAGGTCTTTTTCGTTTTCAAACAGATATTCATATTCTGACAACAAATGTTTAAGAGGAACTTCTAAGGAACATTTTAATTCTAATGTATTTTTAATTGTTCGCAAACAAACATCTAATGAAGTTTTAATAAGATTTTCTTGAATCATAAAAATAACTTCCTTAGTTGAAAGATCACTTCCCTTTTTACAACGTAACCTTACTTCATCTCTTTTCAGATTTAAAAGTAATGAATCTTTTATCATTACATTATTCTTATTATACTGAAATACCCAAATGTACTTAACAAATAATTTCTTCAAATCAGCTACAGTTTTTGTGAGATCCTTTACCTCTTTAGAGGCTAAATTCCGAAAACCAAACAACTTGGAAAGGGGCAGCCGATGAACAACTTCTTGTTTAAATAAAATGAGTAAATAATATATAACAGTTTTCCCCAATAGTCTTAGTTTAGGGGATATAACTTCCATACCACACATTTCTCCAAGCCATGAATAGTCACTTCTATCGCAAGCAGCGGAATATGTTAAACTAACTTTATCTTCATTTACGATGAATACTTGAGGATAAGCAATCAGAAATGATTTCAATTCTAAAGGATTTATAGCTATTATCTGGACATCTTGTTTTGCTTTGTTTCTATGGGTAATAAGTTTATCGATACTAAAATTATCTTCTTTGTCATATAATATGTCAGAATAAAATTGAATTGCATTTAAAACTGTTCTATTGATGTCAGGATAATCGTTCTGCAATAAAGCTTTAATCCATTTAATATGACCTTCAATAAAATGGACTGAATTATATAAAGAAATTTTGTCACCATCAATTGTAAACAAATTGGAGTACTTGGACAAGAAATCTTTTAGGTCTTTTGGATTTCTAATAATCTGCTGTATTTTAGGATCAGCTTTTTGAATGTGACTATAAATCTGATCAATTGTAAAATTTATAGTGTATCCTTTTTTTAAAATTATATCGCAGAAAAACTTAAGAGTTTCAAGAGGTATTTTATCAATAAAACCACAAATTTTCAATTCTCTTTCATCAAATTTAAGGATAGTACTCAGTTGATCAACTAATATTAAGTTACAATTGTTTAAGTTCTGTTGATAACTGCACTGAAAAGTTGACACAGACTGATGAGCCATACTGATAATATTGCATTAGTGACAAACCTTAGCTAATTCCACCAGTCAATTTCAGAACAGAGCCAAAGTATGCGGTCAAATTTATCATAAAAAATTAAATTGAAGTTCATATCACAACGGTTAAAAATAAAAAACATAAATGATAACAACATAAACAAAATGGAGGTTACACGAATTGAGGAACTGAAATAAATAGATAAGAGAGGGGTATAAAACAAAGAGATCATTTCAACTAAATACCGGATCAAGATTTATTACTAAACCCACAGAAAGCATGTTGACATTACTCGAGTCTTTTTTGAAATTCCTATAAAACCTTCAATTTCTTTAATAACCTGAACATTTATAAGGTAAAGACTCCTTTATTCAATTCCATAAATTGTCTTTCAACGTCAAAATAATAATTTATATTAAAATCCAAAACATAATTGTTTTTAATAATTGTTTGGTTTTTTTCATATGGGACAATAACAAATAAATATGAGAACGCCGCAAATGCATTCTGATGTTATTATTATACATAATAATTATTTTTGGAGTCTCAAAATATTCGAAGACGTGATGACCGAGCGTGTTTAGGGGTTAACCGCTTTAACATTCTCGAGTCGCTAGTCCGAATCCGATTTGGGCGATTTGAAATTTATTTCTTGGAGGACCAACTGAATGAATCTCGGCCTTCGAACTGTGGTTAAAATAGGTTTGGTTATACCTTTAGAACAACCTCGCCCCCGAATGCCAGAAAGGCGAAGTATGAGCAGGTCACCTTTGTTGCCTTCGTCAGTGTTCGAGCGCGCTAACGTGTGTACGAAACACGGCAACAAAGATAAATAAACTGAAGTTCACATGATAAAATAATTACGATTCCATGTCCTAGTGCCTGGGGAGGGAAGAGCTTTAAACTCCGGAATTAATCTACTTCCTCTCTCTAGTCTGGGGAAAACCTCATATAGCCAAAAAATCGAGGAAAGTGAGAACAAAAGAAAAAAGATCTAGAACTGTATAATAGTAGAAGTAGTATCCATGCTCTACTCCTGTCAAATTCGGTTACCCAAAGGTACGAAGGGAAGTAATAAAAGAATAAATAGAAATCAAATCCCAAGCTAAATTATAAATAAGATCGAGAAAACTTATTATTCTGTATCTAGTTTGATGTCGGAACCTAGAAAAGAAACGAACATCTACATACCAATAGAAAGGGAGAAATTAAATAAGAGGATAAACATTAATACTGGCAGACTTCCTCATGGAAAAATGAAGTATAAGATTCATCTCCTTTCCATTCTCTTTGACATAAGAATGCGACTATTCATAGGAGTGACTGCTGTACCCAATGTCATAATTCCATGGCGGCGAAAGGCCAGATAGAAAAGCGGTGTCTTCTAATGATAGTAGATCACACATTTTCGTAATTCGTAACCCAAGAATCTTTTTTTGAAGCCGCAGAACATCCAATGGACCTGTAAGGTGTTGTGATAGTTTTCATATTCTAATGAGCTCCTTCACCCAGTACGGTTCTCCTTCTAACCTGATACCAGGTATCGCATTATGGATCATAGTGCTCGAAAAAATAAACAAAATAAATCCAGCTGGATTAATGTTGAGACACATGTGTGAACATTGATAAAAGTGAGGTTAATTTTTCTTTGAAAATCTTTTTGACAAATTCTTAGAGTAAAGTAACAGTGAAAACTTTTCTTTTTGTTGCATTCTGTTGTTGAAACCAATTAGCTCCAAGAAATAGGAACTCCACAAATCGGCGTAGCGGTTTCACCGCAAACGATGTCTTGAGACGTCGATATCTGGCAGTTCTACAGAAAATGTGGACGCCTTAAGCTCAAACCAAACTACTGAAAATAATTGGGAACTCGTTACAGGAAGAAAACGCTCAATGGACAATAACAGAGACCCAAGAAAATCTAAAAAGGTAAGCGAAGTTACAACAATAACCTCAAATAGTTTTGAAGTTTTAACTACCATTAGTGACGAGTCTGATGCTACCACTAAGCAACCGGTTTCTGTAAAACCGCCCCCTATCCACCTGAATGATGGACAGAACTACACCGAACTGGTCACATTTCTCCAAAATGTAGGAGGTTTGAACAGCTTTAACCTAAAATCCACATCGAGAGGAGTAACCGTATATCCTGAAAACTCTGACACATATAGACGTATAGTAGCTAACTTAAGACAGGTAGGTGCCGATTTCCATACCTATCAGTTAATAGAAGACAGAAATCCAAGAATCGTATTAAAAAACTTACACCATGCTACTCCAATTGAAACTATAAAATACGAATTAAAATGCCTAGGTTACGATGCCACAAGTATTGTGAACGTTATTTCCAGATATAAAAATCCACTTCCCATGTTCTTTATCGACATTTCTAAAGCCACATTTAATGAAAAAATTTTTGATATTAAATTTTTATACTATACTGGAGTGAAAATCGAAGAACCAAGTAAGAAAAGAATGATTCCACAGTGCACCTGTTGTCAGCAGTATGGCCACACGAAGGCTTACTGCAATCACTCCCCGAAGTGCGTGAGATGTGACCAAGGACATGATAACACCCTCTGCCAAAAGACAAGAGAGACCGCAGCAACATGCGCGAATTGTAGCGGATCCCATCCAGCAAATTATAGAGGTTGTGCAACTCTAAAACAACTGAGAGAAGTACGCAATCTCCGTAAAAATATACAAAGTCCCCCAAAAACACAAACTAGCGCACCCCCAGGTATAGACGAGTTTCCTTCTCTTCCACAAACTCAGCAGACCGCAAATTCAGGTTCTTCAAAACCCGATTTCCAATATCTAAGACCAAACTGCGAACTTCCCCATACAGAAGTCCCAGAAAATCACCTTCACCAGCCAAAGAATCCAGAAATGAAAAAGGGCTTTACTCAGCCGCCGCCACCGACTTACAATCACCCGGCTTCAGCTCAGCTCTTCAACTTGGTAAGTTGGAGTAATAATAACCTCATCTAACCGGAATAACCTCATCCAGCCTCTTTTCAGCCTTCTCCAAGAACTGTCTCACGTTGCACAAGCCTTATCCTCCAGTTATGGCTACTAATCGGTTGACAGTGGGCTCCATGTCCGTTCTTCTCTGGAACGCAAATGGTATAAACCAATACAGGACCGAACTTGACATGTACCTACATGAAAAACGGACTGACATTGCTCTCATCACTGAAACACATTTGACTCCACATTCTAAATTTTACATTCCAGGCTACAAAATATATAGAACTGACCACCCTGATAAGACGGCACATGGCAGTACGGCAATACTGATTAAGTAACCACTAAAACACAACCCTTTACAATTACCCATTACACCTGACATACAATCCACAGCAATTACTCTGTATACCCAGTACCATACCATTACCTTCGCTGCAGTGTACTGCCCTCCGAGATACGTGCTAACATCTGCAATGTTTTACAATTTCTTCCAACATCTCGGTCGGTGTTTTATTGCAGGTGGTGATTATAATGCCAAACATCATTCCTGGGGAGCACGACTCTATACTCCTAGAGGAAGAAATCTAAAGTCTGCCATCGATCAGCTTTCATTAAACACGATCTCACCTGATACACCTACTTACTGGCCAACTTCAAGACAGAAAACACCAGATTTCTGTGACTTTTTCATAACTAAAGGACTCAGGACAGTGCCGTATACTGTAACTGCAAGCTCTGATCTTTGTTCTGATCATTCTCTTCTCGGTTTGGTACTATGCGATGCGCCTCGTACTGCATAAAAAAAAACAACACTTACAGATAGGATAATCGATTGGGAAGCTTACAGTGACTACTTAAATTCGACGCTATCAATCCCAATGTCCCTTAAGACCGAAGAGGAACTCGAAAAAGCTGTTGATAAGTTCACAATCAGCTTACAACAGGCTGTATGGTCATCATCTGTACCAAGACCCAGCAGAAATACGTCTCTTCCAATCTATCCGCAGTACATTAGAGACCTGATTAGAGCAAAGAGAAGAGCGCGCAAAGTGTGGCAGACTGGTCGACTCCCATCTGACAAACGGACTTTCAATAGACTTAACAATGAACTTAAACGACAGATTCAGAATTTTAAAAGAACGAACTACGACAATTACCTCAAAAATCTTTCGACTGACGATGGAAGCTTATGGAGACAGACTAAGAAACTTGTAAAGCATCGTGAGGTGTCAGCACCACTCCGAAACGTAGATGGTTCCTGGGCTGTGTCAGACCTTGAAAAATCTGAGCTCTTTGCCAACCATCTTTCTTCTGTTTTCATACCACATACTGACTTCTCTAATATTGATAACGAAAGACATGTACAAAAGACTTTAGACATTCCTTTACAACTGTCATTACCTCCACTTTGCTTCACTCCCACTCAAGTTGCAGAACAAATCAGACAGTTACCTAAAAAGAAAGCTCCTGGTCATGACCTGATAAATGCTCAAGTGCTCCAGAAAATGCCAAGGAAAGCTCTAGTATACCTAACATCAATTTATAACGCAATACTCAGAACGACTAAATTCCCCTTACAATGGAAATGTTCATTCATAAAAATGATTCACAAACCTAACAAAAAACTGACTTTCCTTCATCATACAGACCCATCAGCTTGCTCCCATTATGCTCTAAAATCTTTGAGAAACTTCTCTACAAACGACTTCTTGACATACTGACTACTGAAAACATAATACCTGAACATCAGTTTGGATTTCGTTCACACCACTCAACCATTCATCAGCTACACCGAGTGACAGACTACATTGCGACAGCACTAGAGCACAAATTATATGCAACAGGAGTATTTCTGGATGTTGCTCAAGCGTTCGATAGAGTCTGGCATCAGGGACTTCTTTTCAAACTTAAGACTATACTCCCTCCAACCTACTATCTTATTCTTCAATCTTTTCTTTCTGACAGATTTTTCTCTGTTTGCCAAGGTACAGAACTATCTACCATTAAACCAGCCCTAGCAGGGGTGCCTCAGGGGTCAGTACTCGCTCCTCTGTTGTATATTATTTACACATATGATATTCCAGATCCTCTCGATACTCTGACCGCGACTTACGCAGACGATACAACAATCTTGACAAGACATCAAAATTCAGCATACGCCTCACAGACTTTACAGTATCACCTAAACAATTTCTACGGCTGGTGCAAACTC